CTTCTTCCTTCCTTGGAGACCAGCATTTTAGGGCCTTGAAGGATCTCTGACTAATATACATTTTATAGGTTTGGAAAACGCTCTCTCCTTTTCTTCAGCAGCGTTCAAAACTTATCAGGAAATGAGAGAGAAAAAAACCTGTTAAAAAGACAGGGATATCTTTTTTCTTCTCGTGGAAATATTCCATATTATCTGAGCTTAGGGGGTTTGTGCCTAGGCCCGAGCTGGTAATGTTTCTTCATTGAGCTTCATTCTTCCCCCAATTGTATGAGTCTTCAGACTAGAGATTGCTATCACATTGTTCTTTGAACATTTCAAAGATTGCCAGTTTTAAATTAACCCTAGATAGAGTTCTAAAATTATCAGTTTCCAGTTGAGATAATGCAAGTGCTAAATAACAGTATTTTTTGCTTTTTTTTTGCTTTTGTGTCTGGAAGGTCTTACATGGCTGCTAGAAATGTCCCTTTCTAAAATCTGTATCTTTTCTAAACTTTTAAGTGTGTTTTACATGGGACTAATGCATATAGATCCTAGTGAGAAATACATATTTGGATGCACAGAAAACTTTTCTCCATGCAAAATGCCTGTGGAGATTCTCACTCATCCAGGCCATGGTTGTCCCAAAAGTGCTTTTTTCAAGAGGCAACTGGACTTTCTGGTTTTTCTTTGAAGATGTTTCGCTTCTCATCCAAGAAGCTTCTTGGATGAGAAGCAAAAACATCTTTAAAGAAAAGCCAGAAAGTCTACTTGTCTGTTGAAAAAAGCACCTTTGGGACTTTTCTCCATGCAGTGTATCTTGAAAAGGAAGATCTTTGATGTATAAGGAAAAAGGTGATTGAGAAGCAGCAAACTACTTCTCCTCCTCCTCCTCTTCCTCTTCCTTTTCCTCCTGTAAACTCATCACTGTTGCAGAATAAAAGAAAATACACTTCTATCCCTTTACACCAGGGGTCACCAGCCTTTTGGACCTCAGGGACCTTTACACCAGGGGTCGCCAGCCTTTTGGACCTCAGGGACCATAAAACTCATAATTTTAATCCCGGGGACCACTAATATGAATTTTGACTGACGGTCGCTGCTGGAAAAAAAGTCTGCAGGAAAATTCCCCGCCCTGTTTTCCTACTGATAGATCATTCTTTATTTGGGATCACAGCTCCATTCTCAGGGGGAAGAGAGAGAGACTTTTGGCTTCATGCAAGGAAAGCAGCAGAAGCAGCAGAAGTCTTTCTTTCTCTCCCCCAAACTGCGCCAGAATGGCGCAGCCTCTTGAAGCAGGATGCCTTGCAGGGTCCCAAAGACTCATTTCTGGTGGAGAGAAAGAAAGACTTTTGCTGCTTTCCTTGCGTGCAGCCAAAAGCAGAAGAAAGAAGCGGAAAGAAGCAGTCCAGTGGCCAGGCCAGGTGTGTGGGGCGAGTGGGGCAAGTTCCCCCCCTCCATCCTTTCCCCCTTCCTCTCACTACCTCGTATTCACAATGCAAGCGACACAAGTCTTGTGTTCCTGTGGGCCATGTGGGCGGCGCAGCCTTTGTTCCCATGCAGCCTGGATTAATTACTTTGGGGGTGACATTTCTCTGTGGACCACCAAAATTTTCTTGTGGACCACTAGTGGTCCCCGGCCCCCTGGTTGGTGATCACTGCTTTGCACAACCTAACAGGTCGCAGAATTCTGTATTCTGCATTCTTCCACAATGCAGAATGCAGGTCACTTTCATTTTATTTTATTTTTACTGCAGAGCTTTTGTTGGGAAGCCTGATAAAATGACATATTTTAACTTCAGTAGACAGTCTACAACACTTCAGAATGATTGCAAACAATTTACACTGCTTTAGGTGTACAATTGTGTTTCTTTTTTATTCTTGTTTAAAAACAGGGGGCATTGTGCGCCTAGTTAGCAACTGGATAAAAATCCCAGGGCTGAAGGATAAAAAATGGCAAGTTGGGAACGCATGCTAGAAGAAGTCAGTGGCTGCTCCCAAGAAAACTGCAGTGTTTGATCAATGTACTCATCAGGAGCCATGCTTAGTTCAAAGTCACATTACCTTGTATTTGTACTGCAGGCTGCAATGAGGTGTGGAAATGGGCAGCCAAGCTTAATGCTTTTACTGAAGCATTGAGAGCATCTACACATCAGGCTGATGCTAAAACAGGAAAACTCAAGTTATGCTTGCTTGGACAGCCTGTATGCTAAAATTGGAACAATATAGAGCAGATTAGCATGACAACTGTGCAAGAATGATGTAGGGTATGGTGGCCAATAAAAGATGGCCTTTTAAGAGGCTTTCCAAGGACTCTGGAAATGAGATCCAGAACAAAGGAGTGAGCCAACACTAAATCTGATATAAACTAAATGTCATTCAGATTATAAATTAGATCGAGTTTTCTATTCTTCCCTGTATGCTTCATCATTTATCCCTGTTTCGCCATGTTAAAAAAAATAATCAAGATTTTTTTCTTAACAACAGAAAGCAGCATACAAATGTTTAAATTACAATTCAATGGTAGCATTTTGACTGTTCTATACTGAAATCCTAAAGGCAATAGGAGCAGATAAAGTCTTTTCCTTTCTCTGGTTATTTTACAGTCAGTCTCAAAATAGATGCTATATTTGTCAGTTCTTTCATGCTACACTAAAGATGTGATTGGGGAAACTTGAACAATTGGCTGATCAACTTTGGAATGAAATTTTGTTTTGTGCAGACATAAATGAGAAATTAAAGACTGACATTAAAGATAGTAGAGGAAAAGATAGTGAGAACACCCCCCCCTTCTTTTAGATGTTTTGTAGTTTTAAATAACAGAAAGGTGGAATGTTTAATTGGGTTTCATGAAGTTCGTCTTAACTTATTTCAAGGGCCTTTTTTCATGCAAGTTATACACCCTTGTTTAAACCAGTCTGACTTCCTAGTGATAAGTCCTATCAAAATTAGCTCACATCTGTCTTTGTATCTTTTAGGAGAATAAATATAAAAATAGAGCTGAATTTCCATTTCTGTATATTCTATTCTTTTCCCCTGCCCAATACAAAAAGAAGAATGTTTTTTTTTTAAATGGTGCCTCTAGGCTATGATTAAATGAGATTATTAGGGTTGGGTAAATTTTGCTGCATGGTTTTAACTGTCAAAGTAGCACCTATTTGCAGTTTACAAAAGTCTCTGGAGAAATAAATGTATCGGTGTTCAAGTTAGAGTGGAAGAGATATTTAATCTTGGCTTTCTTGACATCAGTTTAGCAGTTGGACGTTTCCAAATCATTACAGGTTTGCCAAAAGTACCATTAGCTACAATCTGAATTGAAACTTTTAGGGATTTAATGTGGAGGGTTTTTTGGGGGGGAGAGGTAAAAGCTTTTGCAAAAGTTCGCTGAAATTTAAAAGAAAGTCGGGTATTGCTGAATGCATTAACTTTGAGAAACCCTGGAGGAACAATACTTTATGTTGTTGCCAATTTTTATTTTTATTTAGTCTCTACTGTTATGTTATAAGGCAGATAAACATTAAGAATTGTCCCTCTTTCTCATTGAATTCATGCTTGCTGACCCATATGCACAATATGATTCATTCAAATAATAAATAAATAATTACAAATAAACAAAGAATTCCCTCAACCCTGTTCAGTTAATACAAATTCTGCACTACTATTGTTGTTAATCTTGTCATCACTCCTTATCACCCATCCCCTCCCACTTGTGACTGTATGACTGTAACTTTGTCGCTTGTATACTTACGATTTGTATTGACTGTTTCCTAGTATTTGATTGCTTATTGTACCCTATGATTATTATTAAGTGTTGTACCTTGTGATTCTTGACTCTTGACGAATGCATCATTTCTTTTATGTATACAGAGAGTATTTACACTAAGACAAATTTCTTGTGTGTTCAATCACACTTGGCCAATAAAGAATTCTATTCTATTCATTCTAACCCTTCTTTGTCCTTAGATAGACAAAATTAGGTGCAGGATAGACTAGTATACGATCAAAATCGATGGACTAAATTTGTCCATTGATTTTGATAGACTACTTTAACCACGGCCAAGCCTGTATTCAAACTACAATCTTTCCAACAATAGTGCTGCTATTCCTACAAAATATAAAATCATGTATTTCTCATAGATCACATCAAGATTTTGTGTGATTCAGTTCAATTTATTGAATTAATCACAATTGGCAGGGTTCAAATGACAAACTAAACCAATATTCATAGTTTAAAAGTAATAATGGAGAAGTTCACCAAACTACTGATTTAAAACCAAACAGAACTCTTTTGTATAGACCAATAGAAAGTTGTGTAATCCAGAACTGTAATTGCTGATCTTCCCAATGAAAAATAGATTTTGAAATAAAATTATCCTGATCCTGATTTGGTGTGCCAGTGAGTTGCTTCTTCTATTCCCAACTGTTTTTTCAAATGCAGACTCAGAAAATCCCTAGTAAGAATGTAAGCAATGGCAGTCAAAGTAATGATAAACAGCATATGGTAGCATATTCATACTTGTTTGCATCTGAAAATTAGCCTGTGTTGTTCATAGGATCACAGGACTAAGCTATATCTAGACAGGAGTTTCTTAACTTTGGCCACTTTTAGACATGTAGACTTCAACTCCCAGAATTCCCCAGTCAGCCATGCTGGCTAGGAAATTCTAGGAGTTGGTCGTCATCATCATCATCATCATCCCAATATACATTTTGAATAAAAAAAAATTGGATCTTTTTATTCTATAGGTCATGGATGAATTTCCTTCCTTCCTTAGTTTTTAAAATAAGAATCAATTGTAAGGTGCTCCTACCATATACTCTGCTTGAACACATGGACTCAAAAAATTAATTCATACATTTTGCCTCACTCTTTTTTCTTCTTAATGTTACTTCCACTTTACACATGTGAAATTGTCCAGAAATTATTCTAACAACAGATGTCCACTGCCAGATGTTTATATTTTCATGCACAATTATCTTGGGATCCATTATTAATTAATTATTTTATTCTCTTTTCCCCTTAGGTATGATTATCGTGAAATGCTGCACAATGCCACTTTCTGTCTGGTCCCCCGGGGCCGGAGGCTTGGGTCCTTCAGGTTCTTGGAGGCCCTGCAGGTAAAAACTATGGACATTTTAGCTCTATTTAAGCTTTTTTTTTTTTCCTCTCTTGTAAAATTCTGTCTTAGGTAATATTGTGTCAGGGAAAGGAAGAGCAAAGCAGAAATTACATTTCAGTGGATTTACTTGCTTTCAGAAATTGTGGGTGCTCCAACACTGGAGATTTTAAAGAAGAGATTGGATAGTTATTTGTCCGAAATAGTATACGGCATGGGTGTCAAACTCAAGGCCCACGGCCCAGATCTGGCCCGCAGGGTACTTAGATCTGGCCCAGAGGGCCTCCCTAGAAACAATGAAGGACTGGCCCGTGGTGTCTCTGCCAGAAAAAAACGGAACTCGCAAGGGCCGCATGCGACTCTCCCTAGCTCCATTTTTGCCGCAGAGGGTTGCGGCAGTCCATGTTCACTGACAGAGTGCTCCAGCCACCACAGGCGCCCCCGACACGAGGGACGTCAAGCTGGTCATGCCCAGCCCGCCCCCCCCCCCAAGGTCAAACACAATCCTGATGCGGCCCTCAATGAAATCGAGTTTGACACCCCAGTATAGGATGTCTTGCTTGACCAAAGGGGTTTAATTAGAATAGGAACCTCCAACCCCCAAGATATGGACTGGTACCAGTCCATGGCCTACTGGGAACTGGGACATCTGGAGGTGAGTGGCAGGTGAGCAAATAAAGCTTCCTCTGTGTTTGCAGCCACCTCCCAACGCTAGCATCACTGCCTCAGCTCAGAATGGGGCAGTTCACAGCCGCCGTCTCACTGCCACATGCTCACCCCAGCCAGTTTGCCTTAGGCGACTCTCTGTGAGGCAACTTGCCCTCTAGGACAATTCACCATGAGTGAGATACTGTTATTTCCTCAAGCCAAATGCCAGAGACGAATGGAACCTCCTCCTCCTCCTCCTCTCTCCCTCCCTCTCTCTCCCTCCCTCCTCCATACATGATGCAAACATGCTCGCACACATATATATGGAGAGGATAAGTGGATGCACATGGAGAGGGGAGGATGTGTGGATTTGCCCTCCAAGAGAGTGTGCTTCCTTCACACACACACACACACTGGTGTGTTTAGCCTGCTGGAGCAGCATCGGGGAATTGAAAGGGCCCAGGTGAGGAGGAGGAGGAGGGGTTGGAGGAGGACACCATGCATGTAATTGAGTATATTTACCATAATTATTTCACTGATTGGTGATTAAAAGCGCACCCTCCTGAAAGTTGGAGCTTTTTGCTGGTTGATCTGAAAAACTTTGCAAAGGCTTATAAAGGGGGAAAATAAAGACACACAACTAAGGGTCCAATAAACGTTGGCTTTGCATATGTTCAACATAGAACTATCTTTCCTTCCCCTTCCTTCCTTCCTTCCTTCCCTCCCTCCCTCCCTCCCTCCCTCCCTCCCTCCCTCCCTCCCTCCTTCCTTCCTTCTTCCTTCCTTCCTTCCTTCCTTCCTTCCTTCCTT